AAATACTCTTTTCCAAGTGGAAAATGGTGTTAAGAGTTAGTGTCAAGCCCAGTCCTCTCCCGGTCCTTTTGATAACTGGCTCTGGGGTCAACTTGGAGCAATTCTGAACCAAAAATCATTAAAGCCAGAAGGGTGTTGTATTGGACTTGGATACAATGGTATGACATTTGTAAACATATGTATAATTCTCTTTTTCTTTGAGAATAAAGTCATCAGTTGTACAAGGTGGCTGAATTTTACATTGAACTTATTTTCTCTGAACTAGGGAAAAGTATTACCTTTGTACTACATTGTATAGTGCAAGGTTGACTGATATTGCGGAAATCGGGACAATATGCTCGCCTTAAAGTGCATACCACCCCTAATTGAAAGCAATTTTTACAAATATCTAAGCCTTTCCAGCTTTAAAACGAGGTACAATTTCATCAATTTGTGCGAATCGGATAATTAAACCCAACGGTCTCCTTCCGGCTCGGTTAAAACGTAGCAAATTTGTCTATTTGAGCGACCTGTGGTCAGAAAGGTTTATAGATACACTATTTATTCAAATAAACGCCGCGGCGTTTATTAAATTTTTAGCATTTCCAATGTGGTGTTTATTTCGAAATCACTTTTTTAAAGTAACTGACAACAGTTATTATTAATCGTTTGTAAATATTATGTAATTTAAGGATCCAGTGTTTCCCTTATTTTACTGAGATAGAATTGTAAATGTCTGGATGGTGTAAATTACCAAGTTTTATTATATAGACACGAGTGTTTTACTGAAAATTATTATTCCACTATTATGTCATTTTACCATATAAGGTCAAGAGAAGGCGGAAAATACATACACCTTATTCGATGGTTTAGCATATAATACGAGCAATGAGCAAAATGTCCGCCCGTATTATATGCTAAACCATCGAATAAGAGGTTTATTATTCCACTACAAAGAAAAATTATCTAGCAATTGGCTTCTATTTTTTGGTAAGAGTATTCAGAGACATCCTGATTCTGTCTGTGAGAATGACGTTAACAATTAGCAAAATGTTCGCGCGTATTATATGCCAAACCATTGAATGAGAGGTTAATTATTTTAGTGCAAAAGAGAAATGGTATTTTGGCTTCTATTTTCTAATGAGAGTATCCGAAACATCCTGATTCTGTCAGCCACAGTTGCTCCCTTTGCATCCGCCGGTATTCGCCCTGTTGTAAACCGGTTAAACCAGGACACTACGGTGTATTACGGCCTCGTATTTTGCTTGTTCTCTTGACCTTATATGGTAAAATGACATAGTAGTGGAATAATAAAAGACCGTAATACACTGTAGTGTCCTGGTTTAACCGGTCTACTTCAGGGCGAATACCGGCGGATGCAAAAGGAGAAACTATGGCTGAACTGAATAAACCGGCGGACAAAAATAAAATAGAAAATAAAAGCCAAAATAACACTGCTTTGCAGTAGAATAATTAACTTTTCATTCAATGGTTTGGCATATAATACGCGCGAACATTTTGCTCATTGTTAACGTCATCCTCACAGACGGAATCAGGATGTTTCTGAATACTCTTACCAAAAAAATAGAAGCCAATCGCAAAATAACAATTTTTTGGTAGTGGAATAATAAACCTCTTATTCGATGGTTTAGCATATGATACGAGCGGGCCTCGGAAAAATACCACGAAACTCGCAAAATATCCGCACGTATTATCATGTGCTAAACCATCGAACAAAGTATATGTACCGAGGTTTTTCTTATCCTCGTAAACGCCGCATTCTTCTGATTAGGTGCGGCGTTTATTGGTAATTTTTCTTCCATCTGCGGCTTTTGATCGAGGGCGGCGTTTAATCGAATAAATACGGTAGTTTCCTTGGGGTCCGTTTGTCGAAAGTTCGGGTTACTTTTCGGACCCGAAATCAAATATTCAAATTAAAATTTCAACTAAAAAGGCGCGGGTAACAGCAAAACAAACCAGTCCACTTTAATTTCTTAACTGATATTTTTGTCATTAAAATTATACCTTTTTTTCTGCAAAACTTCCCTTGAGTGCAAAAAGTGTTTTAATCATGATCAGCACTGCTGTCGCTTGTTTTGTAGCGCTTTCTTTATTCCGGTCACAAGCTCTCTCGGATTTTTGCCCCTTGGTTTCAAAGCCGCACTAAAACCCCTCGACGAAGATATAAGCCCTGGGCTTATTCATCTTTGTAAGGGGTTTTCTGATTACTTGTTCAAGGCGTTCAAATAGCGAGGCGAAAGCGAAAAATACGCGTAACGATGCCTTTAAGACTCGTTGAAATAACTGCCGCATCTCTAAACAAGAGCATGTTACTTTAGTTTCAAGCTATTAAATCTTCTGATAACTTCTAAAACAAACAATTGAAATGCAAGTCTGGCGACACCTTAAAAAAGTCTTTATTTTCATTTTTCCCCACACAGTTTTCATATTTCGGTTTCAAAAAAAGTAGCGTTTAAAGGTGCTGGTAAAAAGCTAAGAATGAAAACGGGAACCATGCATATGGAAGGAAAGAAATAACACAAAAGTACAACGGTAGTTAGCTGCAAAGGGTTTTAAACAAGAAAAGCCAGATAAAAAAAGTTTACTTAGATCTACTTTGTAATTATGTATATGAACGAAAAGCTAACAAGTCTTTTTTATTACAATTTCTAGCCTCTATTAAATAACTCCATTTTACACCTCAATGGTGTACTGAAATTGGACGAGCTTCTCTCAGCTCCAGAAAATCCACTGCGGAACAGTGTGAGGAGTAATGTAAATCCGGATGCCTTAGTGTGGAGTGGTTAAAATATCCGCCTTTGTTATGAATGTACAGATCCTTCGAAGAAGAAAGCGTATACAAAAAGCCAAGGATCTCGCTTATCCTCCCAAACTCGGGCCAACAAAGATTACTCTAGATGGCCTTATTCCTCCGAGATTCGTGAGCTTTTGAGAGACACAGTAATGACATTTTTTAGCCGGCGTAGCAGGCGCTTGGAAGTAGTGGGCGCAGAACAGGCGCGCGAAAGGGAGACGATTTCCAGGGTTGTTTATAAGGCTAGTTGTTGGGACTGACAGGAGTTCTACATAGGTAAAACTATACGTAGATTCAGTGACAGGAAAAACGGAGCACCTCAGTCCATTACTAGTAACAATCACTCACCTGCTATTGCCCCCAGGGGGGGGGGGAGTACTACTGGGAATTCTTGGTGGGGGTGTGCCGCCAGGTTCTCCAAATCCTAACCCTATTTCTGACCAAAAAATGTAAGTTTCACACCCGTTTTCTGGCCTGGCCTTTAGGCAGAAATTACGTTATCATAACTAAGTTATAGAGCGCAAACAAAAAGTTCTTCAAATCCACTTCAAACTCGCATATTTCTCTTTCTTTCTTACTCATTTGGAATTGAAACGATAAATACGTTCATACACTCCCGTAGTTCCCTCAAAACCTATACCCGATTCCAGACCAAAATGGGCAAAGCATATACCCGTTTTCAGACCAAAACAGCGCAAAAACCCTACCCGATAGGGCGGCACATACCCCACCCCCGGGCTATTGCCGACCATGTCACAACATGAACATATAGCTGGTCATAACATGAAATGAGACCATTTCGAAATATTGGCAAGAGGAAGGTCAGACATTGAAAGATAAAGGAGACTCCGTTGATTAGGGATTTCCAACCTTCCTTTAATGAAAATGTCAGCGGTGAAAAACTTTACCTTTTTTTAGTTTGCATGCCTTTTCTTTCATATGCAAATATTACTACTATATGTCATATTTTGTTTCTTGAATTAGTTACTTATTCTACATTTAAATTTCTGTTGTTATTCAACAGTTTATTACTTCTGAAGAAGATGTATGTGTTGTTGGAACATACGAAACGTCAAGTTTAAGTCTTTCAGTTTGTTTGCAGAAATGCGTTTATATTTCCTTATGTTTAGGACCGCAGTTTGCTTTTTGTTTCTTCTTGAGCTAAGATGGCCAAAAAACAAAAGTATCTATATGATTCTGTTCTAGTTATTATTGAGAATTCTTGGTTTGCAATCACTTGACAAGGCAGCCATGTTGGGGGTCAATACAACAGAATTTTTTCTCGAAGGATTTACATGAAAATAGAGTTTAGTTCCCGAAGGAGAGAAACGCTTTTGTTTTTGACCACTAACATGGCCGCCGTGACGTCACGTGTAAACCAGCAATATTATAATTGCAATGTAACTTCTTAGTTTGTCTGCAAAAATTAATAAGGTTTCAATGTGCAGACACATTTACTCTACATTTAAGGGCAGGTTTTAATTGGTATCGCGTAATTCGAGTATCATAAGGGAAAGTCATCGCGATTCTGGCTTATTAGATCCATGTACTGAATTTTGCTTCAGAATCGTTTTTGAACGCATTTATATATAATCCGCCTCTTTAGTTTGTATCAAATTTCAGGATTTTGTACAGTTTCTATTTTAAGAGCTGTGGTCAAAGACAATTAGGCAATTAGGTTGTCATCCTAAAAAGGGAAGCAATATTTTATGCCTTAGAATTGCGAAGGACTTCTGATATAAGTGAACATTATGCCGATGCAAGTAAAATAAAGAAAACATTTAATATCCTTGTAATAAACTAGCGTCCAGGGCATTCTCGATTCATGGCTTTACGCTGCTTAGAGAAATCGCTAACGACGAACGCCCATACTTTTAGTTTTTGATCATGATTAAGCGATGGTCAGTTTACTTGAAATCGGTTACAACTGTTTTCCTCAAAGCGACACGATTTCTGCAGAAGCTATAAACTTTTCCGGTTTCTTCCTCATCTCAGGGGCTGCTAATTACCCGCTACATGTCAAAAAGAGTAAGGCTATTGCACCTGCTCGGGCCATCAGTCAAAAATTATTCATTGTTTAAACTGTCAAATCGAAAAGCAGCGCACTATCTGCTAAAGAAGCGAAAAACATTACGAATTTGACAGAATCAAGACATTTTTTGCCACAGGACTCCACTGTTTCCTTTTCATAAAAGGTGCAAAAAAAATGTATTTTTACGAACAGTTAACAACAGTTAATAAGACCCCGCAGTTACACATGTTCATGCTGTTTTGTCAAATTATTGACATAATTCAAGCTAACGACGTGAGCTTTTATTTCTCGCTGCACGAGAACAGCGCCATCGAAGATGCCCAATTTATTTCGCATTTTTATTCCGAGGATGTCATATTATGTGCCCAAGCATGCTCAAGAGAAGGAAAGTGTTTTACTGCAAACTACAAGGTGGAACAACAGAAGTGCGAACTCTCTAACGAAAGAGTAGAAATTTCACAAGCAGCCGTGATTACTTTGAGGGGATGTTATCTCATAGAAAAGGTAAGAAATATTTGCTATGTTTGATTCAGTTACGAGCTGACATCGGATTGAAAACAAAACTACATGCAGCGTTTCAAATGTAGAGAGTTTTTCAACTAATTAATCAGAAACAGGCGAGAGACGTTTCTATAATGAATTAACTTAAATCACGGCGAGATGGGACTAATGGTAGTTCTTGAGTACAGGGCTGTCTGAGAGTCTCGGGAAATTGGAAAAAAATGAGTGATATTTTTTTCAAGGAGTGGAAAAGTTACCATATTCATTTTATATACTTTTAAGTACTTAAGACGGAATCCATCGGGAAATGGAGTAATTTCAATTTTCAGTGGACAAAAACGGGTTAATAATCCCACTCACATTTATCTCAGCGATCTCAAAGTGTATTTCAAAGTAGAAGTGTATTTCAGAGTAACCTGAAGTAGAATGGAGGAGTATTAAAATCGCAGAAAAAATCAGTGGATTATGCCAAGACTGCCAACGTTGAATTTGTTCTTGACCCGACGGTTTTATTCCATGGTTGATTAATTTACAGCTATTTGCAAATATTTAAGTTGATCAAGTGCAAGTGACTACCAGGGGAGTGTGCAGATTGGTTCTTTGACAATGACATGATCGTTTTGCTTGCATAGACAATACAGCATGTCCCGGCAACAAAACAGCTTTTTGATAAATGAGCATGCGCTGAACCGTGAACCTGTCCCTTTAAACAATATCGCATTCCTTTTTACATTTTTCAAGGACTGACAATGCAATAGTCATCTGTAATTATAACACCAGAGAAAATTTCTTATGGGAGCCCGAGAAAACGAATGTCAAATTTCAGAAAATTATATCTTACTTATGAAATTTTCAGAACTTTACCTGTGTTTCACAATTCTTGTGAAATTTGACATTCATTTTCTCGGACTCCCATGAGGAATATTCTTTGGTGTTATTACAGATTACTAATTACATCTTAAGGCCTTTGAGAATTAAAATTACTCAATTTCCTGGTGGATTCCATCTTAAAACCAGCAAATTAAACGGATAAGCTTCAAACTATGCAGAGTGATTGATTATCAGACTGATTATAAACCAGAAGGAGAAAATTAAAAATTAAATTCGATCACAGTAATAGTAATAGCCTTGGAAAAGAATTCTTAACCAACTTCGAATAAGAGAAAAGTCTTGATAGCACAGCACTCGCGCGCGCGAAGCGCGCGCAGCGAAGCACCATGGGTACGAAAATTTGGTTATCTATGCACCACAGGCGGCTCAGACGTAGTGTGTGTCAAAAACATGGACAAAATGGGATGAGAAGTCGAAATATAACAAAACAAAGTAAACATACCTTTAACTGAACGTCTCCTTGTCGTTCCTGGCCGGTTAAAGTGGCATTTTGTAATTCTTCTTTAGTGGATAGTGTCTACGAGTGCAAAACTCAACAAATGCCGCTTTAGCCGGCCAGGAAAGACAAGGAGACGTTTAGTTAAAGGTATGTTAGCTTTGTTTTGATATATTTTGACTTTTGGACTATTTTAGTTCTTGGGAGATTCGACGACTCATCCCATTTTGTCTATGTTATTGGGACACGCTACATCTTGGTCGCCTGTGTATGCACCTGCGCGTTTCGGGGGTTAATCGCATGGCCACTCAGACTTTAAGAGGGAAAGTAAACAACAACAAGGCCGAGTCTTTCTTTCGACTAAATCTGAGTGTCTACATTGACCTGGATAGCAGAGAAAGAGCTAAAGCCAGAGATAAGAAACAAAGGAGATCATTCAGTCGTTGGAAGAAAAACATAAAAATTTTCTACTGGGTATGAGAAAATGAGAAATGCTAGCGGCCAGCAAGGCGAAAATGAGCGACAATGTTAAAAAAGCGAACAGAAACGCATACGGCATTTCCAACACAAAACCTGTAAGTGGGAAATTTCTGGAAGTTTCATGTTGTAGTCGTGCAAAACAACGGCAAAGAAATGTACAAAAAAGTGTGCTGCACGTGCAAAATTGATATTTTGCTAATTAGACCTATTACTGTTTTTTTGCCGTTCTCGTTGCCTTCGCCGCTTAACATTACACGATTTTATGTTGTGTTTGAGTGAACTGTAAATATTAATTTAGCTCTGGCTAGATCTATATATTAGCAAGCGTACTTCATTTTGTAGCAGCAGTGGAAGAACACAAATAGCCAAAAATTTGATATGTTATAAGATTTTTCCTGTAGTCCGCCGTAAGAGTCTGTATGAACTATCACAAACGCAGCCATATCTGCGACACTTTCCTCGCATCAACGAAAAACCAAACTGTATACAATTCAGTTTTGAAAAACAGAAAAAAGAAACTTGACGGCAGTTATATTTCATTTTGTGTTGCCGCAGTACAAGAACACAACCGTAGGGCACAGTTAAGCACTTACGCTTTGCCAAACCACTTTCAGAAGCAATTGAATTCCCCGTTTTAATTGACCAGAAAATGATTCTTGCTAAAATATGAAAAACAAGGCGTTTTACCGTATTGCGATTGATGCCCTCATTAAAAGGCACAGCTCCTAACTTACACACCATCCAGTTCATCTTGACTGAGCATGTGCTGTTTTCATTTTATTTGTTATGATATCTTTTCTTTCTCTCTCTTTACAGCAAGGCCATATCTCAAAGACCTCAAGTAAGTTGCATTTTCTTTGATGCAAATAAAAGTGATAAAAATTTAAACGCTTTTTTTATATATTTACTAGCTAACAAAAAAAATTTATACTGTTCGTTGAGGACGGTCAATTATTTTAAGTAAATTTCAAAAAGTTCGTAGATAGCATATAGTAGCTGTTCGCTTTTTCCCTTGTTCTCACCTGGCCAAAAGGGATCCAAAGTTTACGGGAGTTTATTCCTGAAAAAAAACAAACAAACAAACACAGAAGCAAAATAAACAAACAAACTAATTCTCATAAGGGGCGTCTGTTAGACAGCGGGCGTTTATTAGAGAGGGGTGAATAATCCATTTTTTACGGTGTATAGAGGGGGCGCGTTTATTAGATAAGAGTCATTTATATGGAAGTGGGCGTTTTTAAGGTCATTTATGTTATTCATACTGCTTCATTTGTAAGCTATTAATCAGCTTCTCAAATGGGAATCAGACGGTAACAAAAAACTTTCATTTCAAAATTATCTGAACTCTAAAAGGGTCAAAAACTAGTCAAACTAGATACCGTTTGTAAAAACAGTCGGTTTACACGGCATGCATATAGAAGCGTCAAGCTAATGTGTTTTGTTGCCTTCCATTTTTCTAGCTTTTTTAAAATGGCTTGATTTTACACCTCAGTGGTGCACTTGGTCTGGACGAACTTCCTTTGGTGACGAGAAAATCACGGCGGAACAGTGTAAAGAGAAATGTAAAAACCGATGCCTTGGTGTGGAGTGGTGGGAAAAATCACGCAACTGTTATGAGTGTACGGATCCCTCCAAAAAGACCGTGTATACGAACACTAATGACGCCGGTTATCCCCCTCACGTGTTCCTTAAGAGCGACAATTGAAAAAGATCTTCCGCTCCGTGAAAGATTTTATTCATCGATAGATAATTCGCCACACTATAAAACTTAAAATTACGACATTGAGGAAATCCTATGGTGTTACCATTCAAATGAAATCTCAGAGTCTCTCCATGATTCTGGAATGTGGGATCCGGAATCATGGGCTTTGGAATCCGGAATTAAGTTAAAGGAATCCAGAAACATGCTAGCGATTGGAATGTGGAATCCAACTTCCACTGACAAGCAATCCGCAATCCACAACGTAGAATCCAGAATCCAGGACTGTCTTGAATGACCTTGCACGGGGCGAAACCTCATTGGCAGGAACTTTTGCATAGTGCTACTTATTTCTTAGGATTTTACAAAATGAAAGTTTTTTCTTTGACTAATAACTAGGAATGGAAAGGTTCATTTTAGTCATTTTAGTCATTTTTAGGCAAGCTTTCATCATGATGTCAAAGATTTTCAAGTGAGCGAATCTACTTAATTTGTTCTCCATCAGGATTTATTAATTTCCGAAAAATAGGCATTATAAGCTGGTTTGCACTCTCATTTTAAACTCGAAAACATGTAAAGTTTTATTTCAGCAATTTATTTATTCATTATTTAATTTTAGAAGCATAGTACGCTAGTGAGTTTCTATTTAGTTGTCATCATCATCATCATCATCATCATTATCATCATCAGCAGCAGCAGCAGCATTAGAAATCATCACCATCATCACCACCACCACCACCATCACCACCGTTACAGACACCATCATCTTAATCATATTTATAATTAAATAATCGTCGTTGTTATAGTTATCATCATCGTTTTGTCTTCTCTTAGAAAATTATTCAGTCTTTATTTGGAGTGACGGCGCTACTCCGAACGTGAATTATAATCAAAACTACAACGAATTCAACCTGTAAGGTATGAACGATTGTAGTTCAATTTCGAGAAACGACAGTGGTAATAAAAATTAATAGCATGAACTGACGGGTGAATACAAATGACTCAGATAAAGTAAGACATGGGTTTTCGTTACATGCGGGGTTTTATGATTTGATCCTTCTTTTTTTCAGTATCTTTAATTTTAACCTTAGAAAGCATTGATTAAGACCAGAACCACTTTGGACTTTAAACACTATACTTTCTTAAGATCACGTAACCAGTCACGCCCATAATTATGCAAAATTTGGACTTTGCAGATTACACCACTTTAGTGAATGTGAACACCATCAGTCGCCTGTGTATGCACCTGCGCGTTTCGGGGGTTAATCGCATGGCCACTCAGACTTTAAGAGGGAAAGTAAACAACAACAAGGCCGAGTCTTTCTTTCGACTAAATCTGAGTGTCTACATTGACCTGGATAGCAGAGAAAGAGCTAAAGCCAGAGATAAGAAACAAAGGAGATCATTCAGTCGTTGGAAGAAAAACATAAAAATTTTCTACTGGGTATGAGAAAATGAGAAATGCTAGCGGCCAGCAAGGCGAAAATGAGCGACAATGTTAAAAAAGCGAACAGAAACGCATACGGCATTTCCAACACAAAACCTGTAAGTGGGAAATTTCTGGAAGTTTCATGTTGTAGTCGTGCAAAACAACGGCAAAGAAATGTACAAAAAAGTGTGCTGCACGTGCAAAATTGATATTTTGCTAATTAGACCTATTACTGTTTTTTTGCCGTTCTCGTTGCCTTCGCCGCTTAACATTACACGATTTTATGTTGTGTTTGAGTGAACTGTAAATATTAATTTAGCTCTGGCTAGATCTATATATTAGCAAGCGTACTTCATTTTGTAGCAGCAGTGGAAGAACACAAATAGCCAAAAATTTGATATGTTATAAGATTTTTCCTGTAGTCCGCCGTAAGAGTCTGTATGAACTATCACAAACGCAGCCATATCTGCGACACTTTCCTCGCATCAACGAAAAACCAAACTGTATACAATTCAGTTTTGAAAAACAGAAAAAAGAAACTTGACGGCAGTTATATTTCATTTTGTGTTGCCGCAGTACAAGAACACAACCGTAGGGCACCGTTACGCACTTACGCTTTACCAAACCACTTTCAGAAGCAATTGAATTCCCTGTTTTTAATTGACCAGGAAATGATTCTAGCTAAAATATGAAAAACAAGGCGTTTTACCGTATTGCGATTGATGCCCTCATTAAAAGGCACAGCTCCTAACTTACACACCATCCAGTTCATCTTGACTGAGCATGTGCTGTTTTCATTTTATTTGTTATGATATCTTTTCTTTCTCTCTCTTTACAGCAAGGCCATATCTCAAAGACCTCAAGTAAGTTGCATTTTCTTTGATGCAAATAAAAGTGATAAAAATTTAAACGCTTTTTTTATATATTTACTAGCTAACAAAAAAAATTTATACTGTTCGTTGAGGACGGTCAATTATTTTAAGTAAATTTCAAAAAGTTCGTAGATAGCATATAGTAGCTGTTCGCTTTTTCCCTTGTTCTCACCTGGCCAAAAGGGATCCAAAGTTTACGGGAGTTTATTCCTGAAAAAAAACAAACAAACAAACACAGAAGCAAAATAAACAAACAAACTAATTCTCATAAGGGGCGTCTGTTAGACAGCGGGCGTTTATTAGAGAGGGGTGAATAATCCATTTTTTACGGTGTATAGAGGGGGCGCGTTTATTAGATAAGAGTCATTTATATGGAAGTGGGCGTTTTTAAGGTCATTTATGTTATTCATACTGCTTCATTTGTAAGCTATTAATCAGCTTCTCAAATGGGAATCAGACGGTAACAAAAAACTTTCATTTCAAAATTATCTGAACTCTAAAAGGGTCAAAAACTAGTCAAACTAGATACCGTTTGTAAAAACAGTCGGTTTACACGGCATGCATATAGAAGCGTCAAGCTAATGTGTTTTGTTGCCTTCCATTTTTCTAGCTTTTTTAAAATGGCTTGATTTTACACCTCAGTGGTGCACTTGGTCTGGACGAACTTCCTTTGGTGACGAGAAAATCACGGCGGAACAGTGTAAAGAGAAATGTAAAAACCGATGCCTTGGTGTGGAGTGGTGGGAAAAATCACGCAACTGTTATGAGTGTACGGATCCCTCCAAAAAGACCGTGTATACGAACACTAATGACGCCGGTTATCCCCCTCACGTGTTCCTTAAGAGCGACAATTGAAAAAGATCTTCCGCTCCGTGAAAGATTTTATTCATCGATAGATAATTCGCCACACTATAAAACTTAAAATTACGACATTGAGGAAATCCTATGGTGTTACCATTCAAATGAAATCTCAGAGTCTCTCCATGATTCTGGAATGTGGGATCCGGAATCATGGGCTTTGGAATCCGGAATTAAGTTAAAGGAATCCAGAAACATGCTAGCGATTGGAATGTGGAATCCAACTTCTACTGACAAGCAATCCGCAATCCACAGCGTAGAATCCAGAATCCAGGACTGTCTTGAATGACCTTGCACGGGGCGAAACCTCATTGGCAGGAACTTTTGCATAGTGCTACTTATTTCTTAGGATTTTACAAAATGAAAGTTTTTTCTTTGACTAATAACTAGGAATGGAAAGGTTCATTTTAGTCATTTTAGTCATTTTTAGGCAAGCTTTCATCATGATGTCAAAGATTTTCAAGTGAGCGAATCTACTTAATTTGTTCTCCATCAGGATTTATTAATTTCCGAAAAATAGGCATTATAAGCTGGTTTGCACTCTCATTTTAAACTCGAAAACATGTAAAGTTTTATTTCAGCAATTTATTTATTCATTATTTAATTTTAGAAGCATAGTACGCTAGTGAGTTTCTATTTAGTTGTCATCATCATCATCATCATCATCATTATCATCATCAGCAGCAGCAGCAGCATTAGAAATCATCACCATCATCACCACCACCACCACCATCACCACCGTTACAGACACCATCATCTTAATCATATTTATAATTAAATAATCGTCGTTGTTATAGTTATCATCATCGTTTTGTCTTCTCTTAGAAAATTATTCAGTCTTTATTTGGAGTGACGGCGCTACTCCGAACGTGAATTATAATCAAAACTACAACGAATTCAACCTGTAAGGTATGAACGATTGTAGTTCAATTTCGAGAAACGACAGTGGTAATAAAAATTAATAGCATGAACTGACGGGTGAATACAAATGACTCAGATAAAGTAAGACATGGGTTTTCGTTACATGCGGGGTTTTATGATTTGATCCTTCTTTTTTTCAGTATCTTTAATTTTAACCTTAGAAAGCATTGATTAAGACCAGAACCACTTTGGACTTTAAACACTATACTTTCTTAAGATCACGTAACCAGTCACGCCCATAATTATGCAAAATTTGGACTTTGCAGATTACACCACTTTAGTGAATGTGAACACCATCGTTTTTTCTTCAATAATATTTCATTTACAGTCAAATAAGCTAATTTAATTGTTAAATGACCTGGTAGGTCCCATTGCGCATGTCCGTTCGTAATTTCTGGAAATAGTCTTCGGAAAAAACTTATCTAATTTCGTTATTGTTTTTCCGGGTTTTGACTAAAAAAGTGACAATTAGGTCGCAAACAGCTGGAAGTACAATAATTTTCCTTGAACTTCTGGTTTTGAATAGCATGTCTTACGGACGAATTTGGCATATAAGAATTAAACCTTTTTTTTTTTACACAAAGAAACTGAAAAACTGCAAAAATATAAGTAAATGTAACTTTACTAATAAATTTGTACGTACATACAAAGTAAGCCGTGTTTCATGACCGTTGCACAAAGAAAAAATATTGATATATCTTACCATTAGGTACTAAGTAAAAACTCATTCATAGCATTTAAAAGATCTACCTTTTAAGAAATAGAAGAACTTGATTACACGATTTTGAACCGACGATGTTTAATGACACTGTCCAACGCAAAGTGCATAAGCTCGCTACTTCAGCGCTTTTTAATTTTGAGCTTTTTTCTGTTGTTTTCGTTTTTGTCACCGCAGTGCTGTATACTCATTAACTCGGCGCAGACTG